AGATAGATAGATAGATAGATAGATAGATAGATAGATAGATAGATAGAGACTTACAGGTTGCAGTCCAACTAATCCTACAATGGATATCTGTGAATAAAAAGTCCAAGAATCTTGTAGTTGGTCAGTCCCACAAGGCTGTTTATGCCAGCTAGTCTTTTATATATACTGAAATCCCGAAGATGTAGGCTATAATGCCAGTGACGGAATGGATGTACTGGTAAGGTGAGGAGAAGCAGGAAAAGAAAAAAATTATTCCTTCTTCCTTTTTCCTTATATAGACTTCCAGAAGAAGGTGTAACCATATTAAAGGTGTGTCTTCCTGCCTAATGTCTAAACTAAAGGCCTGTGGCTTTCTGTCTCAGGATCCAGAACAGAAACATGCCCTCCATTTCTGTAGTGGAGTTTATTACAGATATAGTCAAGTTGATAGCTAAGCCTAGCCATCATACTTGTGAAATATAGTCCATTAATAATAAAGATCAAAGAATGAAAATAGAAATAAGATGAATCCCATGGTAAGGGTCACATTGGATTGCAGAGTATACTTATTTATCTGAACCTAGAAATCATTACAAATTACAAAAGTAAAGATTCAATTAATGAAAAGTAGGAAAATTCAAGTAATGAGCAAATACTCATTGCTAATTCATTCTGCTGAGACCCCGCTAAGGAGTTTTAAGTAGAAAAAATACACAAATCCCAAATAAGGACTATGATGGATTGGGAAATTATAAATATGCTTGATGCATTACTGCTGTACCAGGTTATATGGTAAAAATGACATAGATTTTGAGGAAAAATATAAATATCAAAATTAGCACCTGAAGTTTGTTTTGTTGGCTCATATTTTGTGATTTTCTTAAAGAAGATGCAAGAAATGCTTGTTATTTACATTTTTTATTTTTCTAAAATACTAGATCCAGGAATCAGTTCTTTCAAATTTTAGTTCAATATTTTATAAGAGAGGTTGAAAATATCAAGAACAGTCAGATTTATATTCCGATAGAATGAATTTGGATTTATTGAGGATATGCATTTTAGAGGATGCAGTCTGTGGAAATTTTAAGCTGTGAGATAGTATGAGGTGACAATCTGGAAGAAAATAAATAAAGTCTAAAAAAACCATGCTTGGTCACTTTACCCTCAGAAACTGGGGGAGAAGACTGCCAGGGAGAAGGATTGATTCCTGGAAATTTTGGCATTGTTGGGCTTTTAAACAGGATTGTGGTGTGACAATTTTATTTTATTTATTTATAAAATAATATTTTATTATTTTATATTAATTTATATTAATATTTATTTTATTTCTAATAAAAGCATGCAATGAGTTTCTGCCCTTGCAATAAATGTCTGTATGTGGTACAGTGTTGTGGACTCTAGGTGCAATACTGTTTGCAGCGATCTAGAATGTAATCATCTTGTATGACTGAAATTTTGTTTTTCAATTAATGTGGTTGCTTTAGCCTGCTGCTGTTCATATGCATCTCCTCAACAATTATATTCATTTCATACTGGGATGGGCACATGGCATTCAACTGGTACACTGAAATTGTTCCTTTGGACACCTGGCAATGAGTGGCAAGGGGAGTGGTGTCTTAGCAACTCTTATAAAGAAAAAACCATTTAATTGGGTGGTTTACAGTTCAAAGGGTCATTCCATTGTCGTCCTGGTGGGACATGGTGGTGTGCAAGCAAACATGGTAGTGGAGAAGAAGCTGAGAATTCTACATCTTTGATTCAAAGGGAACAGAAAAGAAACTGAGACACTGGGTATGGTTTGAGCATATAAGAAAGGTAAAAGCCCACCTCCACAATGATATACTCCCTCCAACAAGACCACGCAAGCTCACACCTCCTAATAATGCCACTTCCTTTCAAACCACGACAAGTGATGTCACCCTCATAGTTAAGGTGGTAAAGTGCTTGCCTTGCACACCTCAAGCCCTGAGATTGGTCTCTAGCACTGCCTAGGATGTGGTGGTGACAAACCAAGTCTGACAGAACAGGAACATCCAGACACTGAAGAAATGAAGGACCCTGAGCTGCAGAAGGCCCCAGCCAGACACAGGCATTCCATATCAGCTGATGGACAGGATTCTGGCAGAGGGATAGTAGATACTTGAGAGTTGAGGGTAGCTGATGATTTCACCTTAATCAACATGATGTCATTGTCAACAGTCCACATACCATAAATCAGGATGGGGGGTGACCTTAGCTGCATCAGTGAACTACTCTCCACTTTCAATTTTATGAATGTTGTGTTCCACGAGATGCACCTGTATTTGGGGAGAATAACAGCGAGCAGCAGACAGCACCCACTGGTCAGTGCTGAGAGATCCCCCACATATGTGAGATCCATCATTCAGTGACACTTGGTTGGGGACGGAATGGCTTCTAACAAGTGTAGCTCTCAACGATCCTATCATCATTCTCCTCAGTCAGGAAGGAAGATCACAAGGATCCTTTCCTCCCTCCAGGAAGTCCAGGCAGAACATGTTTCTGGTAATCTTCTCTGGGTAGGAATTGTTGCATGAATTGGCAGAAAGGACCAGGGCTTCCAGGCACTGAAGAATTGCTGGGTATTTGCCTCCCAGGTCCACTAGCAACATGTTGTGTCTTGGTGGAAAAGGTTCTTGTCAGTGAAATCTATTTTCTGGCATCTATGGCCCTGAGTGTCAATGACAAATCTGGAGGTATAAATAGCTGTGGGAAAAAAAGCCTTTATTCTATTGCCCAGTGCAGAACTAGTGAGCAACCATGAAGACCTTCGTCTTTCTGGTTTTCAGTGGAGCTACTGCTGCTATCCCTGCTAATGATAGTGACGACAAGATTATCGGAGGCTACACATGTGAGAACAACTCTGTCCCATACCAGGTATCCCTGAATGCTGGCTACCACTTGTGTGGGGGCTCTCTCATCAGTGACCAGTGGGTATTGACTGCTACTCACTGCTATAAGCCACAGTCTATCTTCACATCTTCTTTGTGTGAATGTCTCCATCCTGTTAGACCCTGTTTGCCACAGTACCTGGTGTGGGAGAATTGTCTGTATTCTGTCAATCATGTTTTAAATAAACGCTGATTGGCCAGGTAGGAGGTGTAGGTGGGAAAACCAGACAGGAAGTGAAAATGATGCAAGGAGGGCAGGAGAATTCTGGGGAGGAGGAAGCTGATTCCTCCCACTCCTGCCCAGACCACCGAACCAGCAGGATGTGAGCTGCCCCGCTGAAAAAGGTACTGAGCCACATGGCTAACATAGATCAGAAAAATGGGTTAATCAAGATGTGAACGTTAGCTAATAAGAAGCCTGACCTAAAGGGCCAATCAGCTTTATAACTTATGGAGTCCTTTGTGTGACTTTTCTCTGGGACTAAAAAGCTGGGGGGCCAGGCAGGACAGAAAAAAACCCCAACAAACAGGCCCCTTCATGTTACAAGTACCTACCCACATAAGATTACAAGAAACATGTTTTGTATTGGCTTCCAAGAAGAAGAAAATGATAGTTGTGAGTATGATTCTGTTGGCCCCATGGTCTGCAATGAAGAGTTCCAAGGTGTTATCTCCTGGGGCACTAGCTGTGGTGAGGATAGGAAACCTGGTGTGTACACCAGAGTGTACAACTACCAGGACTGGATTCAATGGACCATTGATGCCAACTGATATCTCCTGAGTCACCCACTCATACTCAACTTCACTTTCCTAGTGTGCCTGGAATGGGTGTGGAAATAAAAACATTGTATTTTGCCATAGAAAGATGTGGTAGTGTATATCTATAACTTCAGCAACTTAGGAGGTGGAGGCAGCATGTGGTACGTGGTGCAGGTCTCAAAAAGAAAGATAAGTGAGAGGTGTGAGGAGAATAAAGAGGAAGAAAAGAAAGAGCAATAGTAGGAGAAGAAAAAAGAGGAGGAGAGAAAGGAAAAGAAATGAGAAAAAGAAAACAGTGAGCAGTCACCCTTGTAATCTCTGAATGTTCTGAAGTTCCTGAATTGTTTGTGTTTTTTATTAATTTAAACTTATGGCTCAGACTTTCTACTTCAAACTATATTTCACTATAAACCACTATAAACCCTGTCTCTTAGTTCAAGTGTATACATCGAGACAAGAACACATGTGGATTATTCATAATATATATGATACTTATTAAATATAATGTACTATCATGTTCACATATACATATGCATGCATGTATTAATGATTTTAGAGTATCTTTAAGATCATGAGGAAAGCCTAGCACTCACATTAAGAAATAGAATTTAGTAAGTTATCATACTTAAAAACAAAGTTTATAGGAATGAAAGGGTTGTGCCAATTTGAGGAAAATAACTTTGAATTCAGTAAAAACAACAGAAAATTGCAAACTGCATCTATTGGTTCTCAAAGTGACTTTCCTCTCCTTTCCTTTCCTTCCTCTCACCTCCTTTTCTCTCTCTCCCTCAGTCATGCTCCTCTTCCTCTCTCCCTCATTTCTCCTTCCTACACTCCTTCTTCTCTCTCTATTGGTTACTTTTCTTTATCCTCCCTCCATTTCCTTCCTCTTCTCTCCGCTCTCTCGTCTTCCCTCCATTCCTTTGTGCTTCTTTAAAATTTCCCCCCATATTTGTCCTCATCCTCCTTCTCCTTTGTGCTCCTTTTTATCCTCTTCTTCCTCTTTATTTTTATACTTGGTTTTATAATTAGATCTCATAATTTTATCTCATAAACTTGTGTTGGTTGATTAGCTATGTTTTGTTTAAATTATTTTGCTAGGATGTGTCTAAATGTCCTTCATTGTGTTACAGATTTTTTGAGTCTAGTCCAATCATACCACCCTAAGTATGTAACCTAATAAGGGCTCATTCCTTTGACTATTTCCATCTTTTATAATTCATCTCTTACCAGATTACTGCAAAACCACTAATCAGGTCTCCCAAAGGCTTGCAATAGTTACACATCTGAAATCATGCATTGCTCTGCTTACATTTTTCAAATTGTTGTTCATCTCTTCAAGTCTTTCGTCAGAACAAATATTATATGGATTGTTGTTTTAAATTGATTAAATGAGATAAAAGTAATAGATCTTTATTATAATATTTAGAATCAAGTACAACTAATTCTTTGAAAATTACCTTCAAAAGCTTTGGTGAAGGCATGAGAAACCTCTTAAGTCGTTGGTCAACAAAGTGTAAGAAACTTCTAAAACAACACACCTTTGCTGTGTTTGGTTGTCCCTAGAGGTTGGAGGTAAGCTCCTATTGCTAAAGACACCATACAATTCAGACACAACTTGGATATGACCTCCAAGCCTCCTCCCTGAGGATTAACTTTCATAGTCCATGGCGCTATAAAAGCTGCCAAGGGAGGGAGACAGCCATTAATATTAGCCAGTTGTGAAGTCTGTGATTCACAATGCCCAGCTTGGTAAGAGATCTCTAAAGGTCAAATAATGGCACTCATTGTTTGTTCATGACCAAATTGTCTCATTGTACATATGGCCTACTTAACAGGAGAGCAATAAAACCTGGTACTAGAAACAAATAATTCCTGGGGTTGGTGAGGTCATAGATCTGACATTTCCCTAAATTAGCACATTTCCTAACTGTATTCTAGATACTTGTCATTATACTCATAGGTAAGTATAGCTTTTTTTTTATTATAGATGGAGATCATTCCAGAGTACTACAACTGGTCAAAGTACAGAGAACTAATAGATCATGGAGTATCAATACCCAGTGGATACATCAACAGCACATCGCCTGCACTTAAGGCTCAAAGAACATAGTGGAGTAAGCAGGGAACGACTTTAATAGTCAGAATCAAGAAATCTTCTGTGAGATTCTGTCTCATAGAAATCACAAGGAAGTTTTACCCATGACATTTCAACAATATGGTCGCCTAAATAAGATCCAAATAAGAATAACACTAATAGTTATTATATATAATAATAATATAATATGTTTATTATAATTATAATAAACATAATAACATAATATGATATTATTGAAAAGGTAAATCTCATGGCATCCCATCCTGAGACAAAGAGTCACAGGCAATTAAAGGATGATGAGAGAGGAGAGACAGAAATAATGTCCTTATGGAGAAGCCACCTAATCGGTTATCCACTATCAAGTAGTCATCCCTGAAGTTAGTTATATGCATAAAAGTGTCGCTACATGGACTGAACAGGTTGTATTTATACGCTCCAAAATTAAATAAAATAATTTGAGAGGGAACAAAGGGAGGAAGGCACAGAGGAGTTGGAGGGAGGAATTGAAAGGAAAATGATGTGATTATAATTTAATAAAAATATTAATAAAATAATACATGCATCCGATTTGTATTTAAAACAATATAAATCCTAGCGATTCCAGTAAATATGTCTTTTGTCAAAGTCTACATTAAAAGTAAACAAATAGATTTACTTCAAATAACATGTTTCTGACCTTCTGTTTCTTTTAGTAAATATATATGTAATAATATTAAATATTTAGTAATCCTCACTAATAAATTTTACTTAGCTTTTCTGAGTAGAAAAACAGTATATATTTTAATGGGTTAGTTTGTGAAGTGGACTTGATAACTTTATGATCTATGGATAATAAGTAAAAGCAATCAAGAAAATCAAACAAGTGCTGGATATATCTGTATGCCATCTCGTTTAAAATATTGCTTATCTGTCTGAAACCACACTGAAAATTTAAATATCTTATCCAATAGTATAAAACTAGTAGTTAACAAGACAGGCCATGAGTAATCCCAGGTTATATATGTCATCCCAACAATATTTCTTCCAATATCCCCCAACCCCAGAAAATAAGACACAACTTACAGAGTAGTACAGACTAAAATTTGAAAAGAAGCGACATCTCAAAAAAATCTTGTGGAAGAGAAGGCAGAGAGAATGTAAGAGGATTCAAGAAAGAACCTAAGGAGGATGAGAAGGAGTCTAAAGTATGATATGACTCTTGCAATTATGAAGAAAATGCAGCCATTGTGTTTACCTGCACAAGCTCTGCATGTGATTGGACTCTTCAGCACTCCATTAAGGAAGGGAGGACCTTGGAAGAACACACCCTCTGAGTAACAATTGGCAGTTAGTCTCTTAGGGGAAGGTGAAGTTAATTTCTTCAGTGGTATAGTCACTGTTAAGCTGCCCATGTTCTCATAAATAACCGCTATGTATGCTCATTCAAGCAACCGTGATTAAACCCAGTGAGTCATGCATACAAAAGACCCAACAGTAGATGGTAACTCAGGAGAGAGATAGGGGTAGATTAGGAGTAAGAAGGGGAAAAGTGAGGGAAATATGGCTTAAAAATGCACGAAATAATTTATATACACATATACATTATGGAAGAGTTTAAGGTTTAAGGTTGTGAAAGAAAAAAAGAAATTATGTTCTGAACCTTACATGAATGCTGAACCCTGTAGAATGGGAGTGGACTTTCAGGGCAGACTTGCTGGGGCATTATTGCAGGGTTACAAATATGTGAGTAATTTGTTAAGTTATTTACGTGAAATATTTAATGAAGTTTTAAAGATGATTGCAAATCATTCTGATGTGGGATTCCCCTCTGTGTGTTGTGAATATGCTTTATTATCATTGGTTAATAAAGAAGCTGTTTTAGCCTATGACAGGACAGAATGTAGCCAGGCTGAAAGAGATTATAGAGAGACAGTAGGCAAAGTCAGGGATATGCTACATAGCAGCTGAAAGAGAAAGAGGCCAGCCATAAGCCAGAAACTTACTGGTAGGTCACAACCTCATGGTGATTTACAGTTTAATAGAAATGAGTTAATTTAAGATGTAAGAGTTAGATAGAAATATGAATAAGCTAATGTCCAAACAATGTGTCATTAATATAGTTTCTATGTAATCATTTGGATTTGAGCAGCTGGGAAAGCAATGTGCAGCCTCTTACTAAAAAATGGCGCACCAACGTGGGCCAGCTACCTGCACATAAAATGTGAGAGAGCTTGAAAAGGAATTCTACACACACACAAAGAGAGTTAATCATAGCTTCGTGATAACAGCATTTTCTCGGGTGGGCTACATTTGATAGAAGTAAACAGAGGCACTACTCTTTTAAAAGAAGGCTTCCTGACTCAGTGGTAGCAGCAAAAACTGGTTAAATCCTTTAAGAAGGCTTCCTGGTTTGTGCTGGTAGCATGAACATTGGCTCTTTCAGGAGGTCCTGCTCTTCAATGAGTTTGTGAGCAGCGTGCTACTAGTTGCTTCTGCGTCCTTTGAGCTGGGGTGGTGAGAGAGCATGGTTTGCAGATCAGGCAGTGAACACGCCACTGCCATGTCGGACTGGGCATAGCAAGCAGACACATTCGCAGAATTGATCCTAGTCGTGTCTACTTAGCGTTTAAACAAAGAAAAGAAAAGTATCTGTAATCTGAAAATGATTACAGATACATAATAAAGACAGATTCAAACTTGAAACATCTCTAAACAAGACACAGAATGTTTAAAAGAACTACATAGGCTTGGGAGAAAGCAAGAATAAAAAAAGTATAGCTAAGTCAAAGTCTTTAAAGAGACAGTAAAAGCAATAAAAGAGGACAGACAGTCATAGTTTAAAGGAGTAAAGAAAAATAAGTCACATAAAGATGGAAAATACACCAAGAGTCTGGATTATGTATAATGTCATGTGTTCTTTGAATTTTTTGATTGTGAGTAAGCTAAGTACAGAGAGACATTTTATTGTACAGGCTGCTAAGCTAAACTAACGTACATATTTTAAAGGTATCTTC